TTAGGTTTAGGGTAGCTCTAGTACTTAGCCCGCAGATCGCTGCCGCAGGCCTGCGGCAGCCTGCGCAGCGATCCTGCGGCTATAGTTACTAGAGCTAGGGTTAGGGTTAGGATTAGGGTTAGGTTAGAGATTAGGCGTTAGGGTTTTTGCATCATGATATCTGTCCCCACACCATAGATTAATTTTTAGGGTTAACGTTTTGAACGTCATCGTCAACGTTATCACGTGACCTCCCTCCACGGCCCGTGGGATAGCAACACCCTAAACACCCCTAAACGTAGGGCCCCTACCGGTACGCGTAGCAACGACATATAAATACTGCTGCGATTAACAGAACAAGCTCGATAACTAACTTAATTTCAAAAGTCAAATGTACTTGTTTAGCTTGTTTACGACTATCTTTGAACAATTTGACTCGGGTTTTTAGCTCACTTTTGTCAGTTCGCGACTTTGCCTTGAGGGCTGTTGGGTGTTGTTGGTGACTCTTATATATATAATCTATTTATTATATTATATTATAGAGATCAGTGGTTAGTATCTATGGTTGGCCCGTGGTTTGATAGACTGACCTTATATCCTTTAGTTAAATACGGTTGTGTAATACTTGCGTAGCGAGTGAGCGAGGCACTGCAAGTTAGGAACCCATCTACGCCCAGGATCTTGGGGCGGATGGTCAGATGTTATGTTCAAACAGCTAGATATAGACTGGATCAAGGTCACTGTCTCGCCGCCTCTATTATGTATGTCATTACACAAGTTGAGCGCGGAAACCGACTATACATCTATCGGATCCCTGCAGAAGACTTTTGCACAAGTTGCAGAACGTTTAGATTAGGTAGGAATGAATTGAATATGCATTGAATATGCATTGAATAATGATAATAATATACTAGATAATATGATAAGCATGTACATATGTACATCTGCTATACGTGTATATACATATATATATATATCAAAGAGTGGATAAGTAGCGATTAATCCAAGATGGATCTCTATTATCTCCACTCTTGATATATTATAATATTAATATTAATTATTATATATGTATATAGTTCTGCGGTAACTCCTTAGGCCAGGGTGTGCCTAGCTCTAGAACTATGGCCCTCTGGGTTCAATGATAGAGAACATGGGTCCCAATAAAACCAATGTAATTTACATCAATATAAATATAATATTACATCAATATAATAGGTTAGGGTTAGGGTTATGGTTAGGGTTAGGATTAGGGTTAGGTTTAGGCACATTGTTTTATTGGACCCATGTTCTCCTATCCTTGGCGCGCCTCTGCTCCTGCGGCGGAGCGGAGGGCTATAGTTCTAGAGCTAGGGTGTGCCTAGCTCTAGTACTTTACTGTATAGCCCGCATACATTAACTGCCGGCTGGCACCAGCCGCGGGTAACAGCGGCAGTTAATGTAAGCGGGCTATAGTACTGAGCCTAGGGGTGTGCTAGATTATAGATACAATACTACTGTCAATAGTCAAGAATGTAACCCAAACCCAGGATAGGGGCATCCTATCCTAGGTTTGGGTAGCCCGACCAGGCTGTGCGACGGATTGTCTATACACAGTATTCTAACGCTAGCAATACCGTTTCTTGGAGCTAGGGTTTGGGTTACATTATTGTATCTAGGGTGTACCGAATGTTTTAATAACTAAATACAAAACATAGAATTAGCCTATATTAATTATATTAGGATAGGAGCCTACAAAACATCCGAGCGATCGGCTGACTTGTTGTATCAATGTATGTAAGTTACAGTAGGCCTAGTCATATCTCCGGCGAGTTATCCCAACGGCAACGTGGCTGTGTGTACCTGTGGCAGTAGCAACGAGGGCTAGTATTGTGCTAGCTCTAGTACTATAGCCCGCGTACAGTTGCAGCGCGGCGGCATACAGCCTGCGGCAACTGTACGCGGGCTATAGTACTAGAGCTAAGTATAGGACCTAAAGGTGCGATAGCCTGCGGCAACTGTATGCAGGCTATAGTACTAGAGCTAGTATAGGGCTAAAGGTGCGATAACCTGCGGCAACTGTATGCAGGCTATACTACTAGAGGCTAGTATAGGCTAAAGTGCGATAACCTCGCGGCAACTGTATGCAGGCTATAGTACTAGAGCTAGGTATAGGGCCTAAAGGTGCGATAACCTGCGGGCATACGTATGGCAGGCTATAGTACTAGAGCTAGTATAGGACTAAAGGTCGATAGCCTGCTCGGCAACTGTAGCGGCGGGCCTATAGTACTAGAGCTAGTATAGGGCTAAAGGTGCGATAACCTGCGGCAACTGTATGCAGGCTATACTACTAGAGCTAGTATAGGGCTAAAGGTGCGATAGCCTGCGGCAACTGTACGCGGGCTATAGTACTAGAGCTAGACTTATGTGTCTCTGATCGTTTCTTGGACTTGGAGCTACGCCTACGGCGATCGAGTCTAGTCAGCGTGTGCGTGTGCGTGTGCGTGTGCGTGTGCGTGTGCGTGTGCGTGTGCGTGTGTGCGTGCGCATGTGTAATCTTGGACTTTGTTTTTGTTTCACGAGACCTTGGGTAATTTTATTCAACTAATGCAAAGCAAACAAATAAGAATAGCTTAAAATATTTTATATTTGCAGTGCATATGTATCTTATCAGGAGTTAATAAAGACAAATTTGTCTTTATTAACTCCTGATCTTATGTAATGTCATAATTATAGCTACAGAAAGGCTAAAAAATCTATATACTCGTAAGGCCACCATTTCTTTTTTTGTTGGTTTACAGAATTTTTGTTGTTGTTGTTGACTCGGTAGGGTAAAAAAAAAATGTTTTGTCAGATCAAACAAGTCAAAATACAGTGATACTGTTATACATGATATGATATTAAAGTATTTTAAGAAAAATAAATAAAAACAAAACTCAACTTGTAATTATTTTTACTTTTATTATAAACTATTTGTTTATGAAATGTTTTTGTTTTTTACATTTGAATTTTTTTAATTCATATTTTTTAGAGAAAAGGTCGGCGGGAATAAAAAAATACAGATTTTCACCAATTTTTATTTTTTTTCGTTTTTCTTGAAAATTCGGGTCGGCGGATCTGTAAACCAACAAAATAAAAAATTCTCGCCCAAGGCATATTAGAAGAAGTTTCATGAAAAAAACATTAAAACTTCCAAACCAAGTGACG